GCCTCACTGTGTTTAAACTACTATGCAAAAAACAAAACAAACAACAAAAGCAGCTTGCCTTATATCCTTGTGGAAGGCAGGACCTCTCCTGGAGCTGGAGGGAGGCCGGGCTGAGGGTGATCTGTGTTGCGGCATGGACTGGGCAGCGTGGGTTTGGCCGAGGTCGGTCACGAGCCCGGGGTTCCCGCACGGCACTGGCCTGCCTGACCGCTTGCTCTCTGCGGCCTCTGTGGGTTCAGGGCAGGGGCGGAGGGGATCTTTTACTGCCCTGATAACCTGATGTTCTTCCCTCCCTCGCCAGCGAACAATAGAGGGTTAGAGATATGTAATTTCTCTGTGAGAAAGTCTGAAGGGGCCGGGTCTGGTCTCTGCTCCCTTCTACCCATCTTGGGTGAGGACTGTGTGGCAGTTGCCCGCTTTTGGCCGCTGGCAGGAGAGAGGCAGGGTGGGCTGCTGGCAGGGCAGGAGCTGGAGTGAGGGCCATCCTCTCTCTGCTCCTGGACACACACAAGCCTCTCTCAGCAGTTCCCTCCGCTGGCCAGTCGGGGTGTTGATCTGAGCCAGCATCCCCCAAGACTTGAATGGCTTGAGTGGGCCTGAGCTGAAGGGCACTGTGTTGTGACCCTCCCCTCTCCCCCGACATCTCAGCTTGGAGCCAGCTGAGCAGGCTTTGCTTTATTATTATTATTATTTTTAAGCTTCTTTTTGTACTCACTGCAGTGGGTCTGTTGCTGATTTTAACTTGTTGTTGTCCTGGGAGCTCCCTCTAGTGGTCAAAGTAGCAAAATGTGCCCGAGGACTAGAACTGTTCTCTCTGCCTTGTCTGGAGGCAGAGGAGGGGGCTCTGGGTTTGACTGGGATCGTGGTCCCCAGGGTTCCATGGCTTTTAAGGGTCTTCTCTCTTTTCTGTTTCCCCCACCTGTGTTACAGTCTTAAAAATTCTGTACATAATAGATATAGGTAACGAGAGAGAGAGCGTGTGTGAGAATGTGTTCGTGACTTCGTGTGATATAATTTATCACGATTTGGTGGCCTTTGTCATGAGTTTTTTTCCTTTGTTTTCTTTTGCTGGGGGCACCTCCCTCGGGCCCCCTGTGGCAGTCTGGCTGTGAGGCTTCCATAGTCAGCATCTCTTGTTAGCCAAACAGTTCCCTTTGGCAGGTACTTGGAGGGACAATGGTTTTGGAAGAGAGACGGCCCTTCTCTCTCCTCCTCACTGACCCATGTCCTAAAGGTTACAGGGTTCAAACACACCTGGTTATTGTTGTTATTGTTGTTGAATTTTTATTTTAACCAAAGGTTATCAAAGCCAGTTGGGCTTGGACCTCAGCTGCTAAAAAGATTTTCCGTTTCCACGAGGGCAGGAAAGCGTCCACCCTCGCAGGTCTCCTCCGTCCAGGGCATGGTGTGGGAGTTCCATGGGCAGCGTGGAAGTCAGCCCTGGGTTGGTTCCCCAAGGTGGTGGGAGGGTGACAGACATATCTTTAGAGTTAAGACTGCAAGGCAGCAGTGTCGGCGTTGGCGGGTAACTCAGGTTGCTGTGGTGATCGGTGTCTGGTAATACTGGTTTTGTTTTCCTCCTTGCATACATAGACCATTTGTCTTTGAGGACTAGGGTACTCTAGGGAGTTTGAACATTGCAGGAGCCAGAAAGAGATCGTGACCTGAGAGGCCCTTCCTGCTGGCTTTTAATATTGGCTCTCCTCTTGGGAGTGAGGACTTGAGGCAGGTGGGTGGAGAGGGAGAGCCAGGATGTGATGGGCCTACCTCCTGGGCTGGTTCCTGGGTCTGGCCTGCCCGACTGCCTGCCTCTCCACCACATGCTTTTTTTCAGTTAGTTGCCAGTGGGCCCTGCTTGTCCCCTCATCACGAGCCCACAGCTTGCCAAGAAAGACCCCAACGCTCGCTGGGGCAGCACCAGTCCTAGCGGGGACAAATTGGTCCATCCTTTGTAAAGCTGTAAATACTTAATTTTGACTTTCTATTTCTAAGCCCAGTGTCATATTGACACTGGTTTTTTAGAATTGTTCTCAGATGGGCTCTCCTGCACTGCCCTCTGTCTCCTATTTTTTGGGGGTTTTATACAAACAGAGGATTGGGGAGGGACAGGAAGATTAGCATCCTTTTGGCTCCCTGGTTGGTTGTGAAATACACACACACACACACACACACACACACACACACACACACAGTCCTCTGAGATTCTGAACAGGAAAAAAATTATTGGCAAGCCAACACATTTTTCTTTCTTGTCTTGAGGTCCCTGAAGGATCAATCAATCCATCGTGGACTAATACTGTGGGTGGAGCTCAGATGACCTAGGGAGAAGGAAACCACTTAAGCTTGGAATGGGAGGATGGGGGGGTGGGGTAGGGGAGAATATAAGATGTAACTTAAGCTAAATGTAATCTATTTATAAAGCAAAAGACTCTCATCTATTTTTGTGAAAGGAAGGGTTTTTTAATCTAGGGTAGGCAGTTGTGATAGCCCAGCATTTTTCTGTGGATGAGACGCAGTGCATGTTGTTGCTGGATTGAACAGAACCCAGTTCCCCTCTCCCTGCCTTCTTTCCTCGCTTCTGGTCATCCACACCCATAAGCAGCTTCAGCAGAGTATAGGTCCCATTTCACCCCATTCTCCTCTCCTCTGACCCCTCAGCTCCTTGGAAGTTTTGGGGTGGGGATCTGAGGGGGAGGGTGGGCTGCAGGAAATTCAGAAGTGAGGTGAGTGGGGGAAGGGAAAAGGGGGCACTAGGGAGGGGACAAGCTCTGCTGTGGAGGATAGGCTCTGATTAATTAGTTACTCTGACTCTAGTCTGCCGAGATCCATCATTGGGAGAGGGTTAGGCGGCAGCAGAGCGTGGGTGACAGTGGGAGCACACGACTTCCTTGGAGCCTGGCCTTTGCGGGTCCAGGTGGTCAGGCAGCCGGAGCAGGACTGGAAATAGCAAAAGATGCTCATAACCCAGCCCGGGCTGAGCCTGGACTGCAAGCCTTGCTGTGTTCCCCGCAGGGGCCTGGGGGAGGGATCAGGGTGCTGGGAGTTTCCTAGGACCAGGGTCCTCCCCCTTGAGACACTGAGCTCTGGCTGTAGAAGAGATTTCTCCTGGAGTGGGGAGTCTGGAGGGGGCTGGGTGGGTGCAGGTAAAGCCAGAATCTCTCTGGAAGGGAATTTTTTATGAATGGAAGATTTCTAGGCTTAGGGTGAGCTGTGTGTTCGTCCTGGGCAAATCCCTCACCAAGACCCCTCCCTCCCAAGCTCTCTAGGAAACAGGCAAAGCCCTCCCCTGCAAGACCCCTTGTGGACGTTTTTGCATCTACCTGATTTTTAGCCCCGTCCAGGGAGACTTTATACCCATGGTTCCATCCTGCCCCACTGTTGCTGTTGTCTGCCAGCTGGGTCTAGCATCACAGGGAAGTGGGGGCATTTATACTTACCGAAAGACTACTGATCCTACCGGAAACCAACCTGTTTACTGTACTGTTGTAAATATCATGCCCTTTATATCCTGTATATTGGCTTCTTTTAAATAAAGTGAAATGTCTTAGAATTGATGGTGCTTTTTTGTTTTTGTTTTTAAGTAGAAGATGAATCTGGTGGTGGGGGAGGGGTGAGAGGGCTGAGGGCCACAGAAACACTCAAATAAACTCATTAGCTTCTTGGCCATAAAATAGGGGATTTCATATCACCTGTTAGATTTGTAGCTCACAATAAAATCTTTGGAAGATGATAAAGCAGGACTCATGACACACATTTTACTGAAGGGGAAGAGAGGACCTGAGATAGGCTGAGTAACTGGCTTGGGCTGGTTTGGAACTGATGTCTTTTTAACCGCAAAGCCCCCATTCCTCCAGGCTTTCCAATGTGCCCATAGGAGGCCACCTTCCCGGGCTCTGGATTTGACACTATCCAACCTTCCAGTTTTTCTTGTTAATAGGCATGTTCAGGGCAACATTGCCTCCATGTGAACTGAGTCCACCTGTCCAGGGTCTTCTCCAAAGATGAAGACAGCCGCCACCAACTCCAGTTTGCTCTTCGCCATTCCTAATACTTGGCGCTTATATAGTTTCCCTTTCCTACTCTTCATTTAAGTGTTTAAATTCTCCCAAAGTATCTTAAATGGTGTATTCTGGAGAAAAAGAAGTGGCCTAACATGGGGGGGGCATTTTGAGTTGGGTATTATTACCTCTGTTTCACAGATGAGGAAACTGAGGCGCGGAAAGGATATGTAGCCTGCCCGGTGCCCTACGGAGGAACCAGAATCAGCATCGGAACTGACTCCTAGGCAGGTGCCCAGTTCATGCTGCTAGAAGAAATATAAACAGAATAGAGAGTAAGGAAAAACATAACATTAGGTAAAATAGATTGGGTCCCTGAGACTTCGTCATCAGAGAACACTTCAGAATCCAAGTTTTAAATAGCATTCGAGTGTTTTACCAAGCAAACAAATTTTGGAAAGAAAGCTGAAATTTTTACATGGGGTAAAAGCTCAGGAACAACTAGTTTTACGGCCAAAGGCTTTAATGGAAAAGCTAAGCGTTGGCCAGCCTGGGTTTCATCTTGCATTGATCGTAATCTGCAAGGAAGCTGGCCTGGCGGGTAGGTGGAGGGCGGCTGGGTCCTGGCCAAGAAGCTGGAAGGCAGGCTCATTCCAGGGGCTGCAGCCTCCGGGAAGGGGCAGGGGGCTGGCCGCGGTGTGGCCCTGCGGGGTCGAGGAGTCTGGTAGCAGGCAGGTTTCCAGCCTCGCACCCACCGCTGGTAGCCTAAAAGAAGCCAGTCGGACTCTCGCCGCACCTGGGGCGTCACCCGGGGGCCGGGCGCAGAGAGTCCTTCCGCCCCGCTTCAGCACTTGTCCCATTCCGATTATATCATTGGCTCTTTCAGCCCCGCTCTTCCCCACTTTGGAAGGCTGCAACAGGACCGCCCCGCTGATTGGTTTAGAAGCTTCGATGTGTCACTGTGATTGGTCGGCGGGGTTCACGCCCTCTCCCTTGGGTCATACCAAAAAGAAAGAAGGGGAAAACGCATGACTTTCAGGACTTCGCTTTGGGGTTCCTTTGCCCTGTGTTGTGTAATGCCCCCGTTATGCCGCATAAATATATTTTTTATTAGCCCAAGCTAAATATAGAGGGAATTTGTCCTCCGAGCTCGGAGGACAGTAGGGGTGATGCATTTCCCCCCCACGGATCGAGGTGGTGTGCAGGTGGTGCGCTCCGGACGGGGCCTTGCCTTCTAGCTGCGCCCGGGCGGACGATCCAGCCAACTCCTCTGCGATCCCGAGATGCTGCTGCCGGCGCCGGCGCTCCGCCGCGCCTTGCTATCCCGCCCCTGGACCCGGGCCGGGTGAGTGTGCACCGGGCCTGGGGCGGCCCGAGCGCGCGCGTGGGGCCCAGGAACCTGGGAGGCACTGGCGTCCCCCGCGCCGCATTCTCTCCCTGCCGGACCCTCAAGCTGCTCCTGTCACCGCCGGGTTCCTCAGGGGGTCCTCTCCGCTCCCCACCCAGGCTGTCTCCCACTGAGATCTCTTAGCCTCCTCCCTCTGTCTCCCTCAGGTAGTACCTTCCTTTAGCGAGGGGACCCCTTTTCCCGAATCCCGCGACTGGGTAGGGTGCCTCGAGGGCCCCGCCGGTTCCCACGCTCGGCAAGTAGCCTCCGTAATCACTCACCTCACTCCTAATACTGGGCCTTGGCAGTTTGCTGGCTTCCCCCGAGGGGCATCTCTATGTTTAGCACACCACACATCTCATTTCCCCACCCTCGTCTCCCGTTCAGTGTCCCCACCCTGCCCCAGATTCCCCGAGTCCTCTCCTTCTTCTACCAGGATTTCTACCTCTCTTTTTTCCGTCCCGTCCCCCATCCCCGCTTTTTTTTCCAAGTTAAGTGTTGGGCAGAAAAGAGGGACTCCCTTCTTCTTGTAGGTGGAATAATCATATTTATGGAGTGCTTATAATGAACTAAATACTGGTCAAGCACTTGGCAGGTGTCTTACCATGAGGATTACACCAGCTAATACATGAGGAGTGCACTGAACAGCACCCAGCACTTAGGCAGCGCCCGGTTATTATTACCAGGATCATTATTATTATCTCTATGTAAACTTCTCACTCCCTTGAGGCAGGAATTATTCCAAATAATGAAGAAACCCAGGAGCAGTTGAGGGGTGGAGCTGCCCTGCAAACGCAGATTTGCAAACCTGACCTTGTGGAGCTGGGTGCCTGGACCCTTGCCCACTCAGTGACAAATATTCCCAGAGCCCCTCCAGCTCTCAGCTAGGTTTGGAGAGGTAGGGGGGACACAGACCCTGCCCCAGAGGGGCTCCTAGTCTGGTGGAGCTGCCCACCTGGGGATCAGCTTCCCCCCCAATGTGAGTTTTGTTTGCTTGACCCCTGGGGCTGTTAGTGGCTGTGTCTCTCTTGATGAGCTGTGCCCTTTCTGAGTTAATCAGTGGCCCTCTCCCTTCCCCCAAGGGATGGCAGGGTGGTGCCCTGAGCACAAGTGAGTTTCAACACTGCTGTGTGTCCTGTCTGGGTGGGAAGGGAATAGGAAAGGGTGCAGGAGGAGGACATGGGACTGAAGGGTTCCTCTTGTAGGCTGAGACTGGGGCCACACCTACCACACTTGGTGTGAGATCTCATTTGCAGGTGTTCCCTGCACTCCAAGACACAGGAAGGTGGGCTTGTAGAGTCCTGTGTTTACTGAGTGCCTACTGTGAGCTGGTGCTCTGCCAAACACCCTGGAGGTGAGGCGTACCCAGTGAATGTACATGTGGATGGGGCCTTTGAGGAGTTTTCAGCTTAATAGGGGAGAAATGCATGGATGCAAAAGCCCTCCAATATCTAGTAGAAAGCAATCCATGTTCTAAAAAGTCCATGATAACAGTAATAATTATCAAGCCATCAAGCACCACACTGTGCTGAGAAGTATCATGGGAAATGATCTGCCATTTAAGGCAGAGAAATACGACCGAAATTACGGTTGGTCTAAATCCAGATTCACGCTCTGAATTATGAGGCCTCCTGAATTGAGAGGGAAAGAGAAAGAGCGTTTTGCAACCGCTGCCCTGGGCTCAGGTTACCTCTGATACAGCAGCTGGCCCAGTGCCCTAGACAGGATTTCTCAACCTCACCACTGTGAGCATTTGGGGGCTACATTTTTGTTGCCATGGAGTCTGTCCTGTGCACTGTCGAACGTTTAGCAGCATCCCTGGTCTTTACCACTGCTTGCCAGGGGCACCCCCGGCCCTGACAATTAAAAGAAGTCCTGGCCCTGATGGTAAAAACAAGTTCGTAGACATTGCTGGGTGTGACCTAGACAAAAGTAGCTCTGGTTGGGAGCCACTGCTCTGGGGGAACAGGTTGGGTATCTGATCACTCGTTCCTTACTCAACTAACATTTAGGGCTCACCTGTGGCATCCCATGTCTGCATTTATGGAGAAACAGTTTCAGAGATTTTCAGTGATATCTCTCAGTGTCCTACGGGTAAAACTCTAGTCCTGAGAAAAACTGCTGCTTTTGAGGAATGGGTATGGGAGATGTTTCTTCTTTTCTTTCTGTTTTTCTTTTTGTATTAGTCGTTTTTTTTTTTTTATTTATGGAGTTCTGCTCTTGTTGCCCAGGCTGGAGTGCAATGATGTGATCTCGGCTCACTGCAACCTCCACCTCCCAGGTTCAGGCAATTTTCCTGCTTCAGCCTCCTGAGTAGCTGGGATTACAGGCATGTGCCACCACACCTGGCTAATTTTGTATTTTTAGTAGAGAGGGGGTTTCTCCATGTTGGTCAGGCTGGTCTCGAACTCCCAACCTCAGGTGATCCGCCCGCCTCGGCCTCCCAAAGTGCTGGATTACAGGCATGAGCCACCGCACTCAGCCTGTGGGAGATGTTTCTTAGTGTTTCCTTTTTTGCCTTGAGTGTCAGGAATCTCAGCCAGTTTTAAAAAATACCCTTTATATGTATTTTCTTTTTATTTAATACATGTCAATTGTGAAAAGTACAGATAAAGCAAAAAATATAACCATCACCTGGAACTGTGCCACACAGAGGTAACCACTGTTAACATTTTGATTCATAGCCTTTAACTTTCCATGAATATATCTGCTTTAAAAAAAACCCCATAGAAAGAAGCTCATCTACAAGTAATTTATTATAGCTTATTTTTCCGTTTCTGCACTTGTCTGCCTTACAGTATTTTCCCAGGCCCTGGAACTGTGTCTGGCACGTGGTAAGCCCTTGGCAAAACGTTTAGGGAATGAATGAATTTGCCATGTGAGCTCTTCCTTGTCAACCGATATTTATCACAGCCAGCCTCAGGACAGTCACCGCAAACATGTGGCCTTTATAGGTGGGCCCAGGGATGGTGGTTGGTGACAATGACTGCCATTTAGCTTTCATGTGGATTATGTTACTCAGCTTCTCAGCAACCCATGATGTAGGGGTTGCCACCCCATTTCATAGATTAAACAACTGAGGCCCATGGGAATTAAGGCAAGCTTGTCCAAGGCCTTGAGCTGGTGAACTCCAGGCCTCCCGTGGGACTGCCTCTTTTCTCTTTTAACCCGGCTTCCTGTTCTTTTCTCAATTAACTTTACCATCCGTGTTCCTAGTTTTCTTTGGAAACACATAGGATGCAGATTTATATAGAAATTTAACAAATAACCAAGCCAGCCCAGGCGTGTCGTTGGCTTATAAGAAGTGTTCCTGCCGGGCGCGGTGGCTCAAGCCTGTAATCCCAGCACTTTGGGAGGCCGAGGCGGGTGGATCACGAGGTCAAGAGATCGAGACCATCCTGGTCAACATGGTGAAACCCCGTCTCTACTAAAACTACAAAAAATTAGCTGGGCATGGTGGCGCGTGCCTGTAATCCCAGCTACTCAGGAGGCTGAGGCAGGAGAATTGCCTGAACCCAGGAGGCAGAGGTTGCGGTGAGCCGAGATCGCGCCATTGCACTCCAGCCTGGGTAACAAGAGCGAAACTCCGTCTCCAAAAAAAAAAAAAAAAAAAAAAAATAAGAAGTGTTCCTTTCTGTTCCTTACTCCACCTCACGCCAAACCCAGGTGTGACTCCTGCTCAGCCCATCTGACCTCAGGGGGCTTGTGGGCTGGAATTGGCTACCACCCTGTCCCCCGCAGCGATCCTGTGTGATTCCAGACTCTTTTTAGTCTGCCTGATGGTTTAGTTTTCAAAACATCGAAGTCTGCCTGGCCCTTGGATGGGCATAGCTTGCCCTGGGTGGGGGGGTGCTGGCACTTCCCACCATTCCCTAGACATTCTCAGCTCTTGAATTCCTCATTCCTCCAACCAGTGGCCAAGGCAGTGACTTTGGCCTGGAGCGTCCTGCTGGCCACCGCGGTGAACCCATCGAGCGCTTTGAGGCCTCGGCAAGGTAGCTTCAATATCCTCATCTGCAAAATGGGGATGATTGTATTAACAGCCACTTAGCAGGTGGCTGCAAGGATTAGTGGTGATGCGACCAGTGGCTTCCTGGGTGCCTGGTACCGAAGGTGAGCTCTGTGAGAATTTGAGTGGAAGAATAATGAAAACCTATGACTATCTAAAGTAGTGAAAGTACCATTGAGGCAGTGCTTGGCAGTGGCCCTCCTGGGAGCAGTCTGCCTCCTGTGCCCCGCCTCTGGCCTGGCACACAGTAGGTGTTGAACAGTTGCTGTTGAGATAGCCCAGAGCACAGCATGGCTTGGATCCTGGCTCCGATTCTTGGCAGCTTTGTGGCTCCGGGCAGGTTACTCACCCTCTCTGTGCTCCCTTATGTTCTCATACGGAAAATAAAGATGATAGTGGTAGTCACCACATAGGATTGTCCTGCGGGGTTAAATGATCTCATAGGTGAGAAGCACTTTGGAGTGCCTAGCACTGGGAATACTCAGTAAATGCTGCTGCTGTTAGGTGATCCCCTTCTCCCACCAGTGGGCTTCCCGGAGTGATCCTCCTCCATCAGGAATATCATGGCAGCAGGGTCCCCAGCAGTGAAGGATGGTCGCAGGGGGGGAGGTATGGTCCTCAGTCTCTTCCCTTTATTCCAATTAAGTACCCCAGGTGCAAAACCCCTTCTGTTATTGTTTTTTGTTTTTTTTTTTTGAGACAGGGTCGCACTGTGTTGCCCAGGCTGGAGTATAGTGTCACAGTCTCAGCTCACTGCAGCCTCAACCTCCTGGGCTCAGTCATCCCCACCTCAGCCTCCCAAGTAGCTGGAACTACAGGCGCACATCACCATGCCCAGCTAATTTTTGTATTTTTTTTGTAGAGAAGGGGTTTCATCATGCTAGCCAGGCTGGTCTCAACCTCCTAGGCTGAAGTGATCCTCCCACCTTGGCCTCCCAAAGTGCTGGGA